GTTTAATAAATAAAATAAAAGTAACTTTTTTTCGTGTCATTTCGTCACATGTTTTAGTATTAATTTTAAATAACAACTGCATTTCAAAATGAAAAAAAATATGTATATTTTGGAATATAAAGCAGATATGGCATAAGAATCAATGAGAGATTATAAAAATTTTTTGCATTTGATTATTAACTTCCAATAATTAGTGCGACGGAATGACAAATCGTCAGCGATAAAATGAGTACTGGAAAAGTTTATTAAAAAATTAAAGAGATTTATTTATTTTTCAATTAACCTAATGGCTAAAACAGCAGTTGAAAGCCAGATACAGGGTTGCCACTCAACAGGAAGAACATGGAAAAATCAGGGAATTTAAAAATCGCCCAAAATAACAGGGAAAATGCAGGGAATTTTGTCTTTTAAAAATGGTGACCAATCAAAGTGTAATCTATGGGATATTTAACCATGATATTTCAGCTATACTAAACTATTTCATTTACTATAGCATTATACAAGTATGTTCAGCTGTTTTTCCAGCAATTATATCGTTAGCCCAACGGTACTTATATAGTTAGCAAACTTATATAGTTAGCCCAACGGTAATTGTTCTCTCTTAATATATTGTGTATAATATGTACAGGGAATAATTTAAATTCCCATACAAATCAATGCTGGCAGTCTTGGTAAAGCCGTAAAAATGTTGTCCACTCACTTCCAAATCACCAATAAAGGTAAAAAAATTAATTCAGTCTTTATGTGAGGAGTATTTAACATCAAACGAAACTAATTTAAGTGAGAAAAGATGAGCTGTTTATTTTGGTTAAAAATTTTCACTGTCAAGATGTTAGTTACAAGCCCCCAGACATAAAAGATTCAGTGATAATACAAACTCTGACAGAGTAACGAAGAGTGCAGATGCAATATATGTTTATGGCACTAAAAGAGGCTTTTCATTCGTTTAAAGAAGCATATAATGATGTAAAGTGTGTCTTATCCTCATTTTTGTTAAATGTATTTTATTAGTATCTCACAACACATGCATCTGGAAATACCACGTAAATGTGAGGTTGTTCTAAAAAGCCAAATAAGTTAAGGACTACACTTTGGTATAAAGATGGTGCTAACATAAAAAAAATTATTTTAGATATTTTCACCTAAGTCAAAATTCCAGAAAATTTCGAGTAAAAAGTTTAAATCAAAAAATTAGAAAAAAATTTAAACAAGGTTTTTTCCTTTTTCTCAATACTTCTTAGTTTACTTAAAATACATTTAAAATTTTACACATCCCTATGATGACCTGGAGAAGTAATTGGAATTTACAAATATGTCTTTCTTTCTTGAGTTTATGATTATAACTATTCACTGATAAAAAATTAATATTAATCTTGACTATAAGCTTATCTGGCTCTCCCTTACAAACAAATAAAATAAACTGTGTTTTTAAGTTCCACCTTTGAAAATTTGATTTCCGGAAACTTTTGCAATCAATGAATTTTTGAAACGTCTGAACCTTCAATCTCCGGATTATAGTTAGCGAAAAATGCATAATTTTTCCGGAGCACAATCAGCCCTGTATTTTTTATGTGTCTTAGAATGGTAGGGGAAGAGAAATGGAATCTGCTTTACCATTAAAACCAATTTGTGTTAAATCATGCTGTTGAGATAGAAAAGACTATCTCCAAACAAAACTAGAGACCTTGAAATTTTCAAAGCAAAATTAGAAAACAATTTTTCATGACTTCAACACAATTTTAATCATAGTTTAAAAAGGTAAATATATACAGGTTCGGATTAAGCGTACGAGGGACACCAGGCCATTCAAATTTTTGGGGCAGTTAGATAAAATTTTTTTCCTCATATATTTTATATTTATTCAATTATAAAAGTATTTATATATCTTTTCACTTAAGAAAGCATATTTAAAATTAAAATAAACAATGAATTAAATTTTACTTTATATTGTTAAATTAAAACTAAAAAAATGACCATATTTTATTAATACGTATTTAAAATTGATTTTTTTTTAAAATCATTGTTCTTCTTAATTTTTTTAAAATTTATTTTTAAGGGGCCCCTAATCATTGGGGGCCCACAGCCATGGCCTAATGAGTAATCCAGCCCTGCATTTATATTTGTCTGTATTGAGAATTTATATCTAAAGGCAGAAAGGGATTGAAAACTAAAATTTTAAATTTTTTAAACTAATAGTTCCTCATTTCATGCATAAAATATTCATGATATTAAAAACCTTTTTTAAAATTTATATTAATTTTATGACAAGCTGTTAAATATGGATTTGTTTTTCAAAATGTTTAAGTAATAAGGCATTAAGAATTACAAAACTATTAATTCTTTAATAAAAAATTGAATTATTTATTAAGATTACACTGATTACAAGAAAATAAATGTGGCTCTAAATAAGAATTGACTGCATAAAATACCAAAATAATGTGAGAGCAGTAATGTCACATTTACTGGAATAAAAATGACAAACAATATTGCTAAAAAAAAAAACTGATATATCAACAAAAAAAACTTCCAAACCAAACTTTCAGTGGAATTTTGAAATTCTATGGAGATTCAGGCCTTCCTTATACAGTGGTTATCATAAGCATGCAACATAAAATTTAGAACACCATAATTTAAACCATATTTAAATAAATTAGAATCAAATCAGTACAGTATAAAGATCTTAAAACATAAATATTTCAACAAAAGGTACAATTATAGAAAGCAGTATATATTTATTTATACACACATACCTTAATTTAATTCAACACTTTATAAAAATGACTGACTTGGGAAATTCATTTTGGGATTAAGTACAAATCCAGCAGATCTTATGAAATATAAATTTCATGATTGTTGCATAATGTACTAAATATTTTACACATAGGGAATTTTTTTAGTCACCAATATAGAAAAACTGCAATATTTTCCAGTTATGATTAACATTAAACATACATGAAATGCTATGTGTTATGTTTACTCATAATTTTGAATATTAATAGGCCTTTAATTCATCAAAGAAAGGTAATATTGTAGGGAAAAGCGAATTAGGAAAAAAAATTATTTTAGAAAAAGAAAAATCTCAAACAAACCATTCCTTATTTAAAGTAAACTGATTTTTAAGACACAAAATTATATGCAAACTTAAACAAAAACTATATGATCTTAATTAATGCCTAATTTTATTCATCAATCAGGTTTTCATGATGCCAACAGAAGAAAATGACAAAGAATAAAATTAAAATTGCTCGCGAAAAATCTTGTACCTTCGATAACATCTTTAAGTTAAGAACCACCAAACTCCATTAAGGACCATTTCGCTGTGGAACAGAGCTTTCACTGCGTAATCAGGGTTGGAGTTTTGGATGTCCTAAACTGGTTTTGGACAGGACACGTGGGTTTTACTGTCTTAAACTGGGTTTTACTGTCCTAAAGTGGGTAAAACTGTCCTAAACTGGGTAATACTCTCCTAAACTGTCTTAAAGTGTCCAAAACCTTGAACTTTGGTAAAAGGTAAAAATTCTATAGGTGTAACCATTGTACACATAATAATTACATGTATCAATAAATATTTGATATTTTTTATACAATTTACTATAACTTATTAAAAGAAAATAATATAATATAATAGGAAAAGGTTTATAATTTTTGAAGCTCCACAATTCATTGAACAACAAAAGTGAATACCTAATCCTTTAAATATAAATATGCTTTTAATACTGATAAATAATATTTTTGCATAAGGATAAATATGGCAATATTAAAAAATAATAATTTTTCTTAAAAAAAATACTAAATTTGTTCAAAAATTAACCTTTTATTTTTCACAATATTTTTTTAAAAAAATGTTATAATTTCTGCATCACAGGATGATAAAAAAGAAATCTTTTTTAAAAAAAATTGTTTTTAAATATAAATATATTAGTTTAAATTGAAAATACAAAATAACTGAAAAATGTATTAACAGTTTTGAAGGGCATAACATCAGTTTCAGTTACTGACACTGGTGATGTATCACCACTATGCTAAAAGAATTGAACATGAATGAAATAAAAGTATTCTTGAATAGTACTATAGATAAATAAACCTGTTTATGACGAACCAAGCACTTAGTCCCTAATATTTTAACCTGTATGGCAAGGCCAAACTTCAGTTATGTACTATTGAATGAGAGGACCAATTGAACTTGATTACTGATTAATCTTCCTTTGTTTAAATTGAAGAGTCAAACAATATTAATAAAACATTATACTTTTAAAAACAAATATTCTCTAGTATATTTAATTATCAATATGTTATTAGTACTATGTTTATTTTTCCTCTTAAATATTGTTCAGATAAAATTATGACATAATTTGAGTAAAAGGGTTTTGGACAGGATGGTTTAAACCGTGGATTAATCCATTCTGTCCTAAACCTTGCCAACCCTGTGCGTAATACTTAAAATATTAACTAAATACTTACTTAGCTAACAGCACAATGGCCTACTGATAGCATACAGAACACTTGAGGTGCAAAGGATAATTTTAATTTTTATATTTAATTTTTTTAAAAAAAATTTTTTTTTACTAATAGAATCAATTTAAATATAATTATATTATACTTTTTATTTATTTATTACTTCCCACTTTTCAGTATTTTATTCTTTATTCATTTTAATGATCTTTTCTGTTAATATGTTATATTTTTATTTAGAGTAATTTTTTAAAATTTGATGTTAGTTTGTGTTTAAATTACAGCTTTAACTGTTCAATAAAATAATGATGAAAATTCAATAAATATTTGACAGATTACTGTTCATAAAAATAATAAATCAATTAATAAAACTGAAACATTTTAACTATGCTAAGAACTTTATAATCTTTTTTCTATTTTTATTAATTCATTGTAATTTGAATGTCAAATAAGACTAAAATTGTACTTTAAGACTCTCATAGTCACGCAGGTATCTAACCACTAGCATATAAAGTGTGCTTACATTTTTAAGTGAGTTTTTCTCAGAATAAGCTAACTAAGCACTTTATTATTTTAAGGAGTAAACATCTTAAAGGTTTACTAATCATAACAAAGTCAATTTCCCAAGTCCTGTACTCTCTTTGTTAGAATTATGACATGATAATGACATAGCTGCCAACATATGGATAGGAAAAAGTCCAACAAACTTTATAATTGTAATTCAATGCACTAAATGTTTTACAGAGAGAATTTTAGGGATTTTTGCTATAAATAACATAAAACATATTTCTATAAATGAGGTTTGCCTTATTATGTATACTTAGTTAAATATTTTAGCATCTAATAATCTGTACAAAAATGCTATTTTAATAAGGATTTTTTTTAGGAAACTTATGAGAATTTATGGAATTTTCAAAAATTTACAAATATGAGTAAAATTTTAAATGAAACAGCAGACTAGGAGAAACTGACAAAATACATTAGCCTGCTGGAAAATCCATAATAGTTGGAAGCGATGCAGTAATATAACTCATCTTTGAAAATATAACTAATTCTGGGCTAGAGCCTGTAACCCGCTAATGCACGTTGTACAGCTTTAAGCTAAATAAGAAGAAATACAGGGGCCTATCCAGACCGAATTTACTACCGTTTGGCGGTACCTTCACAAATTCAACTATAGGAAAAACATAGAACTTAAAGTTCCAAATCACATGAAAATTCAAAATTTGAATTCTTTGTACTTTTTTGGTGGTTTAGCACTATCAAGTTGTTTCTTGCGCTTACTTTTCTGACGAGCAGCATGTTCAGCCACCATATCGCTCAAACCTTCTTTTTGCAACTGCAACTGGTGTTCTCTCATTGTCTGCGCATACCTTGCAGCCATAGCAGCAGTATCTATTTCCAATTCACTTGGATCTAAAGCTACTTCAATACCTTGAGGCAGAACAGGCGCAATACCAGATGCTTTTAGCTTACTATCCGGAATCGCGGCAGCTATGTCATAAATATGGGTCGATCCCATCATAGTCGCACTAACATACTCTGTCTTTTTCTCTGATAATATGGTATAAAGAGTAGGCATTTCACCACCTGCCAATTCCACTTCTACTTTCCTCTTACGAAGTTCAATTGTATCAGGTCTTTCCATTCCAGCTAGAATCGAGCTAAATCCGCTAGGGGTGATAAGACCCTCAGCTGGAGTGACTAATCCAGTCCCGTCTTCAGCCTTATCATTAGCATCCTCCTTTTCTTCTTCCTCTTCTTCTGAAGACTCTGATTCGAGTTCACCCCACAGAGTGTGATCAATCTTTTCCTCTTGATTGAGAGGCTGGTTGTCTAATATGAGCATACCAAACACATCACCGTAGAGAGGTCGGCCAGTCTCGTCGACAGGAGGCTTACCCCAACCACCTGCATGGTAACCAAAGGAGCAACTGTCTGGGATAGGTGCGTTCAGTCCGGATATTTTCAGGTTAGGGTAAGAAGGAGGGGGTCCATAACGCTGCATAGCAATTAACCAGGGAGGCGGGCATTTGTTTGCATTGGGCCCCGTGGGCATTCCTAAGGCAATCCTTAGATGCACACTTAAATCGCCAGGTTTTTTCTCTTTCAATCTAGTCTCAAATTCTTTTCCCTCGTAGTACAAGTCACCATGAACAGTCATTTTCAGTTTTGTCTGCCATTTATAAAAAGCATCATGAAGTTTTTGATAATCAATGTCAATTTTGCCTAATTTCGGTCGCACACTTTCCCTCACTTTAGCCTTCATAGTTTTTTGTTCTTCTTTTTCCAGCAGGACTTGTCTCATTTCCATTATGCCAGTTCGCTTAATAAAGTCAGGTAATTCAAACGCAGGTTTTTCAAAACCTCGCTTTCCCTGTAAATATTTACGTTTGAAGCACCAATGGCGAGGAACTGGCACAGTATTACGAGATGCTTTCAAATGTAGTAAAAGAACAGGGTCTTTAGCTGTGACGTCGTGCAGTTCAACCAATTCTGGACGATTCACTTTTAGCTTAAGCTCCGCGACAGACATCCGGCTTAACTTTTTAAGTTTTTTTTTAGAAAGCTTTGGCTTTTCTTCTTCAAGTATGCCATCATCAAAGTAAGCTGGTTTCTTTCTTAGATCTATAGAATTAAACATTTCATTAAGTGCATTTTTCCCAGCGTCTGCGACCATTTCTTCGTTTTCTTTTAGTTTGAACTTCTCAAATGTTGTAATAAACTGCTTATATAATGGGTCAGAAGTATCAATTACCTCTTGAACATATTCTATATCGACATCAACACCAGAGTCTCTCCGCGAATGCTTATCTCGAAATTCTAACAATGGATATTCCTGCCTTTTAATTTGGCTCTTCTTTTTTTTTTTCTTGCGTCGTTTGTTCTTAGAATCCTTTTGCTTTTGAAAAGCATCCCTCTCTTCCACATTATCCTCATCGTCCACAGATATCAAATTTAACACAGATGTTTTAGAAACTTGACTTCTCTCTACATTTAGGGATAGAACAATATCAGGATCGATTCCATATTCTTGTGCTCTAACAGTTTTGAGAGCAAGCACTTTTTCTACGGCTGGAGGCAATTTAATTTCAGCTGCATTTTCACTCGTGTCTATTAATTCTGAAATTTCAATGGCTTCAGTTTCAGATTGATTACTAACTGAATTGTCTACGTTACTATGAATTTGATTTTCCAATGAAGCCATCACGTTAATGGTGGGTAAAGGAGATGGCGAAGACGAAACAGAACCATTTGGATGATGAGAATTAGGTGGCATGGCTGTTCCAGGGGGTAAAAGAGGAGGGATATTTGACATTAAAACTGTAGGAGGAGGTGGCAAAACATTCATAGATGGCAGAGAAAATGGCGGTAGAGGTGGCATTTGAAAAATGTGTTGTAAGAATAACAGTCGCTGTTTAACGTATTGTTAACAATGTCGCTAACACTTACTGTTGTTCAAATTAAGCAACGAGATAGGGATTTGAACAAAATAATAAGAGTTGAGTTGTCAATTTACTACTTGCCATTTTGTAATACTCGATTTTTGTAGATATTCGCATAAGAGTAGAAAGAAGTGAAAATCTGTTTTATATGGTGGCAATTATTAAAGGGTTACTATTTTATTTGTCGTGGCGACATTATTTGCTGTTTTAGTCGCCAGTCGGTGCTTTAAGGCGGGTTGACACGATCAAAGTACTT